TCCCCATATGCACTTGGCTTTTTATTCATCATAGAAGTTATGTATTGAGACAGCCCTATCTTCAGAGGACCCTTGTATAAGGTGACCATTTAATAATATTGCTGCTATGCTGGGCAGTCCATACTATCTTGGCTGTTTTCCTCCTGAGCAGCATATGCTGTGGTATCACTAACTTGGGTTAAAAGCACTGTCTGGGGCAGTGCAGTATCATGTTCTTTGTTCTGTCAGTCCTCTTTGGGTTGATCCAAAGGATTGCTTTTCAGCCTTTCAGTAAGGAAGACTATAGAAGGAGGTGGACTGTCTTGTCACCTATACTTTTGTAAAGAAGATAGAGAGACTCAAATGAAGTGTGGGGTAAAGGTCCTCACAAATATGCTGCCTGGCTCTAAGACTTAATCAATTTTGTTTTAAGCTGGCCAAACATTGAGCTGGATGCTGGGAACAGGAGGAGGAGAGGGGGAGTACAGATGTGTAGAAAGGCCACATATCTTAGCCAGTCAAGTGCAGTTAATCATTTACTAACAGATGGGAAACAGACTGCGCATAGACTGTATCTCATACAGACCCTTGCGTGTATAATTTTAACATGAATTTTATGTAATTTTTAAAACTTTACTATGTGATTATTAAAGTTAACTTAAAATATTTACTTCCAGAATCATTCTTATAGTCACTCTTATGGAATGAAGAAGAGATCTTCTGGTTCTCATAAAGACCTACTGGTTAGTTCTATTGTGTCTTGTATTATAATTCACTGATTACTCTTAGAGAACTTACAAATTATCACTGCTTTATTGTGTTCCTCAGACATTATTGGAACTTGATAGTATGCTGAAACATGATTTATCAGAACCTTATTAAAATAATTAATAATAATTTTGTTTTACTTATAACATTTAATATCAAGTTAACATGCTAGAATTAGTAAGATATCACAGGAATCTCATTAATAAGATATTTTCATTTATGAACTGTCCTTGAGAATATACCTTGAGATTCTTGTCCTTATTTTAGATATTTGAATTGATTTAGTTGTGTTATGGGCAGTACCAAACTCTTAGATAGGTTTCATTCTGAAAGTTTGTTGGGAACTTGGAATGTATTTTTTTGTAGAAACAATAAAGTATGTAATGTCAGAGTTCCCATGCTAGCTTGCAGAAAACTCTTTAACCCATAATGTAATTAAACTGAGGAACTGATATGCTCTCCATTCCATCCACCTTGCTTCATACCTTGCTAAATATTTTTGTTTTTTCCCTCTGGGGAAAAAATGTCTCTTGAAAGCCACTTTGGGCACTAGAACAGTTCTTTCCTGTTAGCCTGCCATAGTACACTAGTCCGCCCTTATGTCTGGTTTTGCTTTTCAGTTTCAGTTATCTGTGGTCAACTGCAGTCTGAAAATATTAAATGGACAGTTCCAGAAATAAACAATTCATACATTTAAATTGCTTGCCATTCTGCATAGCATGATGAAATCTTGCATTGTTCCACTCCATCCTGCTCTGGATGTAAAGCATCCCTTTGTCCAGCGTATCTACACTGTAGATGCTACCTGTCCCTAGTATCAGCATTATCACAGTGCTTCTGTTTAATGAACCCTTATTTTACTTAATGGCCCCAAAGCACAAGAGTAGTGATGAAGGTAATTCAGATATGCCAAAGAGAAGCCATAAAGTGCTTCTTTTAAATGAAAAGGTAAAAGTTCTCAACTTAATAAGGAAAGAAAAAAAATTGTATGTTGAAGATACTGAGATCTATGGTGAGAATGAATTTTCTGTCCGTGAAATTGTGAATAGAATATTGTTATAATTGCTCTATTTTATTATTAGTTATTGTTGTTAATCTGGTACCATGCCTGGTTTATAAATTAATTTTTGTCATAGGTATGTATGTGTAGGAAAAAACAGTATATATATTGCTCTATTTTATTATTAGTTATTGTTGTTAATCTGGTACCATGCCTGGTTTATAAATTAATCTTTGTCATAGGTATGTATGTGTAGGAAAAAACAGTATATATAGAAAATGGCTAGAGAAGTTGGAAAGGGAATTTTATCAATGATTTTCTCTCCCTCAAGAAACCACAGAGTATAAAATTACTGTTTGTTTTGTGTAGTTTATTGAAAATGACCCTGTCATAGAAGTTTTAGACCAAACCATATTTAGTGCACTCTTCTCTCTTTTTCATTAATTAATTTGATCAGTTTGTTTTGACAAATATTGGGACCAGGAAAAATTTGGAACCAAATAACTCTTTAATCATTGCTGTGGCTTTGCCAAATGTATTGTAAAAGTGGTAATTATTCAGTTGTTCTGGATTTTTAAAGGACATTCTTAAGTATGACATGAAAATAAATTACTTTTTTCCATTCCATTGTGTCTGAGGGTTTATTGTCTTGTTTTTAAAGTAAAAAAATTAGTTATGACTTCATTTGAAAACAGTTAAATTTTAATACCATTCTTTTTTGAGAGACCTGAAATAATTGTTACCTTGGCATTTACTTAATGATCCCGTGCTTTAAAGACATTGTTTTAGAGGAGAAGGGGTTTGACAATATCCGATTTTGCCTTTGTGTGTTTAAATTTTGTCTTTGTATGTTGTTAGGTTAGCAACATTTAGCCTAAGAAAAATGTGCTTAATTTTGCTTTTTGCAGAGTGGCCTCTACTTTGACCAGAGAAACTATAGCAGTCTTAGACATAGCAAACCTATCTCTTCCTACTACACTCGGGTTTGTCTAAAGTTGTTTTGGGTTCATGTATTTTATCCACCTTTAACATAATTCTAATCTCCCATTTTGCATTTTGACTAATTATAAATAGTATGTAAATGGCTATGTATATACTAATTTTTGGTAACAGAATTCATACTCTGTGTGTGTGTGTGTGTCTTTAAACAGTGAGAACTGTTAAATCACCATGTTTGTAAATGAATACAATTTTTTTCAGTTTGTTTTTAATGAAAAATTTCAAACATACAAAAAAGTTCAAAGAATTATATAGAGAACACTACATAACTACCATTTAGATTATACAGTTTATTTTATTTTCTTTATCACAGAATTGTCTATTCATCTCTCTGTCCATTCATCAATCCATCTTATTTTTTGATGCATTTCAGAATAAGTTGTAGACAAAAGTACACTTCAATGTACCATTTTAGAAAGCTCACACATGAAAATCTGAACTACACATGGGATGAGAAGAATGTCATTCTTTGTTTTGTGTTAGAATGTTTTGTTTTTTCAAGGCATTTGATACATCATACATTTAAAACACACATTAAATGTATGGCATATGGTACATTTAAAATAATTCAGATGACATCAGAAAAGAAAGATTTAATTCTTTTCTAAAAAGTGCTGTGCCTTTTTAGTGCATGGATTCATTTTGCCTGGTACAATTTATCTGATTAAGGCACTTTGTCCATGACTTGTTTTAAAATACAGGCTTTCTAATCTATTTGGAAAAGAGTGTTGTAGCTCTAACTCGGTGCTCATTTTTCTGGTTTCCCAGTAACCAATCTGAGCCCATTAGGAGTCTTTCATGGAATCACTGACAATATCACAGGAGATGCTGGTGACTGGGATGTGGCCACTGTTTGCCACACTTGTGCCATGGTACTGTTTTACTCAGTGTTTTCTTAGGTTGCCATCCCATTTCCTAAGAATAATGTTCAAAGACCAATAGGACATGAACACATTTATAGGAAACTGTTCCAAGTGTTTTTCTTTTTTATGCCTTACAACTGGTATTCAAACAGGTTTCTAATGACATAAATTTTTTTTTTTTTAAACTTCATGTGTTTCTTAACTACCATTAGCATTAGGAATTGCTAATGAATAATGAAGTATAAAATCATAAAAATATCGTAAACTTGTCTTTTGCTGTCATGATGGTGAGAACAATTCTTCTTTTTGTTTTTTCTTATTTATTGTTTTTTGTTTTTGTTTCTTAGCAGTCTTCTTCCTTGTGCAGTGATCCTCTGGCTACATCTAAGAGTATCAGGGTTAGTACTTTCTGAGGAGTGTGTTGCCTTTAGAACCATCAGTTCCTTTTCTTTGGGTTTAATAATGCACTTTTTTCATAGGCCTCCCCTACTGCAAATTCTGGTCTGCTGAGAAGTGCCAGTCTGGTTTGTATTTTCCTCTTCCAGTGTGTGCATTGCTGGTGAGGCCACTGTCATGGTGCTAACTCTGTGGCTTGACTGCTTTCCTCCAAAATAGTCAAGGACACATGGCTTTAATGCCAGGCATGTTGCAGAATGTACTGCCTGTGTTTAAATACAAAACTTTAGGGTGTTAAAATTAAGCATATTCTCTTCGTAGAGATAGATACTGCTGGCTGTTGGTAACCGTTGTTTAAAATCAGTTTCCTGTAGAGAAGATAGGTTTGCATGGGTCCCACCACACATATTCTTTTGTCAGATGTCTGCCCATGCAAGGGATGTTATTTATTTTGGGGGGACAGCTATGACCGTGGCCACATTGATACCAGGGTCTAATAAAGCAAGCTGACTAGAAAAACAAAAGCCATAGTTTTGTGTAATGTGCAAGCTGTGAGGTGGTTACTTTCAAGTTGCTGTTTTTTGTGTTATGGCCTGTTCTAGTGGACTGGAACACAGAGGTTTTATAACTTAATTTTATTGTGACAGTGGGCAAAATGCTTCTGTACTTCAGTTTTCTTTTCTGCTTTAATTTGTCATTTGAGAGAATAAATTAACAAATATTAATTCTCCTTGTTTTATAATGTTATGGTGAAAGAAAATACTGTAACTAGTGGTTTTTTTTTTAATGATGTGTAAGCTTGAAGTTATAATGAGACTGATACAGAAATTTATGTGTATAAATAAGTTGTATCACCTTTAGAGACTTCACTTTGGGAGGCTATACACTTAACCGTTCTTCAAAACTTTTTTGGAACTGAGTACTGTAAAAAGTGAAGACATTATTGAAATAACTTTGATGCTAAATAGATAAATGGTATTTCCTTTGTTCTTTAGGCGTCATTGTACGATGGTGGATTATATAACCCTTATGGTTCTCGAACTGTAAGTCTAAAAGGGGAGGTGGTGAAGAGGGGGGAGGTCTAAGTGGGCACAGTTTACTTAATAGTAAAAAGTCATTTAATCTGACCTGTAATACTCTACAAGCTGTGATTCATTCGTTCAGCTAGCCAGTTGGGACTCTCATCTAAATGCCTGCTGGAAATCATGCTTAAAATTTGAGGGGAATAAGTAGAGAATCTTTTTTTCTTGCTCATTAGTTCCTCCTGAAGTTCTGAGCAGTGCTTCTCAGGGCATCTTCTTTCTCTCCTCTCCCTCCTGCTATGGGCTGGTGGATCTTGAGGGTACAAGTGAGATGGAGTTCCAGACAAGGAACCCCTCTGGGGAAGGTTAGGTCTAGGGTCACTAATGTATTCCTAGCAGAAAAAGGATCTGACCATGGTTGTAAAACCTTTCTTCTTGAAAACATTATAGCCATCTGAATACAGTTATTACTCATTAAGAACAAGTTCAGGCCGAAGCAGTCCTGCGGTAAGCTATCTAGTCTCTTTGCATGCTTTATAGAAACTTTTGGTTGTTTCATTAACCTGTACTCACAGTTTAGAATATTGAGGATGTAGTGTATTTCACTCTCTTGTGCATGGATTACGGTGATACCTCAGTACACAAACTAGCACTAATTTGCCCTAATTGGTGGTTTCTGTATGAATATGACTTAGCACATAATTTTTTAAATGAGTCTGGAACCAATACCATTAGAAATTTAAATTTTTATATTTAATTGTCATTTGTGTTAAACTTCTTGTCTTTTCAGGGGTAATAATTCAGTGTATGGGGTGGCCACCCTATGTTTTTACTTTCCATCTTTACTTCCTGTGTTCTGCCATTTCACTTGCTTACCAGCACTTTTATCAGTGGAGTGGAAGGAGAAGAAATAAAAAGAGCCAACTTTTAAAAGTTGTTGTAGAGAAGACAAAACTGGGACAATTCTGATTACCTGATCTCTCTGGAGTTTTAAGACCTTTTTTCAATTTATAAAAATACTATTAGTTGGGCCGGCCCGGTGGCGCACTGCTACAGTGCGCCGCTTGGGAGTGCGGCGGCGCTCCCGCCGAGGGTTCGGATCCCACATACAGACCGGTTCCCGCTCACTGGCTGAGCGAGGTGCGGGCACAGTGCCGAGGGTTGCGATCCCGTTGCCGGTCCCAGTCCGGTACGGGTGCGACACTGAGGGTTGCGATCCGTTGCCGGACACGAAAAAAGACAAAAAAAAAAAAAGGGAAAAAAAAATACTATTAGTTAAGGGTGCGACACTGAGGGTTGCGATCCGTTGCCGGACACGAAAAAAGACAAAAAAAAAAAAGGGAAAAAAAAATACTATTAGTTACGGGAAGTCCAAAGTAAAAGTCTCTAGACCCCTCCCTCTCCATTTCCATTATCCAAATGAAC